TCAGAAACTGGCCCCCGCCCCTAAAGTTTTTAAAAAAAAAAAAAAAAAAAAAAAAAAAGTTTGTTGAAAGAATGGGAGCCAAGAGACTGATCTCGGTTTTCCTGCCCTCCACTTCCCAGTTCCCTGCTTCCCCACACCCCTCCCTTTTTCCCCTCTGGTGCCAGCAACATTGGCTTTTATAACCCTGTGGGAGTTGAACAAATGTTGGCGCTTGCTTGAACTTTAGGCCTTATCTATTTGGCTGCTTTCCCCAACTTTTGCCTACAAGATTTTTTTGGTTAATTGAACTTTCCAGTTGTTTAGATTTGGGGTAAAAGGGAATAGACTCTAATTATTTTCTCTTAAAAGATCTTTTCTTTCAGCTCCTGTTGGATGAGAGCAAAGAAAGGTTTGTGGGTTTTTTTTTTTTTTGGTAAATGGAGTACTTAATTAAGCAGAATATATGACCATTCATTTATTCAACAAACATTTACTGAGTTACCACCTCTGCCGGAGTCTCTGTGCTAGGTGCAGAGGTGCACCTCTGTGCAGGGGTGCACAGTGGATAAGTAATGGCTCCTGCCTTCCGGTGCACTTATTAAATGAAATATAGACAACGAATTTGTTGTGAATAATCAAGAGTTGTACAGAGTCTTTTGGGTGTTAACATAGCACTTTATATTATATACATTAAACATGCTTCAGCCATGCAAACAGTGGAGTCATTTCTTTTCAGGGAATTGTTCACTGCATGAATTTTATCTTACCTCCCCACTCAGACATACTTTCCATTTTGTGTAATAGTATGGTTTATAAGTCATCTTAAGGTCTATGGCCTTTTTAAAAACGATAAGCTTTAGGTAAAATAAATATGACATAGCAGATTTTTTAATATTTTAGTTCAGCGTTTTGTATCACTGTATAGAGAAGTGAGAAGAGGACGGCCAGGCCAGTGTTCCTTCCTGTGACTTAAAGCATCTTATAACAGCAAATTGGGTCAAAAAAATATTTTTTTGTGGTAAACTTTGAGTTATGGATAATAATGGATGGCAGAATGCAGAAGAGTGGATAATACTAAATAGCAGCTCAAGTAAACCTTTGTCCTCCTTCAGGGCTACCTTCTGAGATCTCTGAGAATTCCTGTTTTTGAATAGTGCTAGACCATTTTTTAACTGAGGCACTTTTGCCCCCAGGGGACATTGAACAAC